GCCAAGCCAAGGAGGCTCAGCCACACGAGGCCCTACATACATACATGGCAGTCGGTGAGTTCGCGTCGTCCTCATCGTCGTCGTCGACGTACGAGGAGCGCTACGGAGGTACGCATGTCGACTCGCAGTCTCGGCGTGTTTAATGATGGCGTCGTGCGTAATGCAGCCACGCCAGAAACTTCGATTCACGTTCTTCGTTACAGCGCTTGCCGGCTGTGGTGGTATTTTTTTCAGTCCGATACATTTCGAAAGGTATATAAATCCATTCGACCGTCGAGGCCTTTGGGTCCATCGAACTTCGAAGCGGCACCGGGAGCCAGCGCCGGTCTGCGCCGGTCGGAGTTGCTTGCGTCGCGTGGTAGTTTGTACATTGGCTCGCAGTGTACAATCTGTCTTCCGTAGTATTAGGGGTACATAGAGGACTAGAGTACTCTTCGGGGCGTCTTGTCGTACTAGGTGGAGAGATGGAAAGACCGACCTCAACCCACGAACGTGTCCATGCACCGGTGGTCGATACGGAGCTGCCTCGTGCACCACCATGTGTATCTGTTCATCGGCAGCTTTGACGATTGGGCTGCTGCCTGTGTGCAATAATGAGCTGCTGACCACCGTGGCCGACCATACGAGGCCTCCACTGGCGCCAGTGTACTGCTAGTATGGCAGAGCTGCCTAGTGCACTGGGCTCGTCGATTGCCACCGTGCTCGGTCCAAGGGCATAAGATTTCGGCCGGAATCCGCAGCCACACAGTCGCGTCACGACCATCATTCGGCATTCGGCAATCGACGAGCCATGACGACGGAGCTCGTGATCGCATCGACCAACCCGGTCAAGGTCCAAGCCGCGCTGCTGGGCTTCCAGAGGCTCTTTCCGGACGTTCCGTGCACGGCGGTCGGCGTGAGTGTCCCGTCGGGCGTGAGCGACCAGCCCATGACGTGCGCCGAGACGCTTGCGGGCGCGCTCAACCGCGCCAAGCGCGCCAAGGCCACGAAACCGAGTGCTACGTACTGGCTCGGCATCGAGGGCGGCGTCGAGAAGAGTGCAACGAATGGCGCCATGGAAGTGTTTGCATGGATTGTCGTGCTCTCGACCGACGATGCCAAGACGGGCATGGCCAAGACGGCCAGCTTTTACCTCCCGGCCAAGGTCATTGCGCTCGTCGACCAAGGCATGGAGCTCGGGCACGCCGACGATTTGGTGTTTGGCCGCTCCAACTCCAAGCAGGCGAATGGCTCTGTCGGCTTGCTCACGAACGACGTCATCACGCGCAGTACGTACTACGAGCAAGCGGTCATCCTCGCGTTCATTCCGTTCAAGAACCCCGACTTTGCCTTTCCAATGCCGCAATAAGCCACCGCCATCAACTTCATCAACTTGATTTGACTTGATGTGATCAAGGGCATAGAGAAGCCGTTGCTTCTCGTAACTGACCAACTAGAACCGAGCTGCACCTCTGACTCGGCTCCAGTACTGAATAGCCACACGTATATTTGCTCACGAGAAAGGTTGTCATTCTCGACGGATTCAACGCATACCAGGCCGCTCGAGGCGGCGAGCTACGACGACACATGAAGCCGGGCATTTTTACCGGCTCCATGTTGTTGAACTGAGTTATATGACATGCAATTATAAAGATATGGTGGACTTCCTAATGCGCGCGTGAGGCGTGGCCAGTGCGTCAGCGAGGGGCGTTAGTTGTCGTGATTCGAGATTGTGCGAGGGACCAGGTAGCGTGTACACCAAGGATCGTCGCGGAGAGCGACCAGCGACGCGTCAAGAGATGGCACCACAGCGCGACGAGCCAAGTGCCGGATGTGCAATCGTGCGGTAGTAGCTGCTCGGATCGCGAGCGTTACCGGCTCCATGTGCTGCACAACCGTTGGCAACCATCGAGGTTGATGCCCGTAACTCGATGAAGGGCTCAACCAATGGCTGCGCTCCAAAGCTACGCGTTTTCAGTTTTCTGGCTCACCGATGTTGTCGCCCAATGCACATGACACCGACGCGTCGACACGCCAAGGGCATTGGATTGTGCGGTCGCTGGTGGCAGTCGCTGCCTAGTGCGCAGTGTATTATATTAGTACCGGAAACACCATCGATTTCTAGAGCACATGTGGCCACAGGCTTGGCGAGCTGAAAAGCACGTGCAGCGAGATGTCGCGTACGTCGTTAGCATTACCTTCGCAGTGTACTACGCACGTGGCTCCTCGTGGTCTGAAGCGAGCAGCACGTCATTGGAAGGTGATCGTAGGCCCAGAGCTCATAGGCCCAGAGCACTTGCCTCGTGATGCGTTGAAAGCAGGTTGCCACTGCACAGCCACGCCTTCTCAGAGCGTCGTTTCCCAGCGTTGGACGCATGATGCCCCGATCTTGCTATCTTGGTTTGAACGAGAACTGGTAGGGTCGACTTGACAGTTCTCTCAGCAGAGCGACGTGTCTCGATAGATATTG